CAGCGCAGCGGCTTCCGCATACTGCTCAACCAAACGCGAACGCACATGCTCTCGTTAGGTGGTCGGCGCTATGGAGACGCAGCCGTCGGGCTACCGTTGGCTTGTTCCCGTCTCCTGCCCAGACGGTGCTGGAGCGAGCCTAATCCTGCGCTTACACTCGAACGGAAAACTTCGCGACGAATAACCGTCAACTACCCAACGCCATGGCTACCCCCCCAAACAACAAGACTGAGCTTCACACAGCCCTATCTCCCGCCATGCGACAAGGTCAAAACCGCTGGTTTCACAGTGCTGCACACATCTCATGGCAGCCGATCGCTTGAGCTCAGGAACAAGGAAGCCCTGTTCAAGCAAAGAAAACCTGAGATACGCGAAGGCCATATCGGGAATAGCTCCGATCTGATCGCATCTCCCACGCAAACTCGGAGCCCTGAAGCGCCCTGAGGGCTTCGCTGGCCGCGTCCAGGACGTGCGCGCCGATCTCTCGATACAAACATGTCGCCGACTCGCTGGTCCACGACTTATCCCTCTGCTGACAGCTCCTTACTACGGCTTTTGTACCAGCGGGAAGCCATGCGCCAGAGGAAGGGACGGTGCTCTGTCAATACCACGGCCAGTGCAGCTCCATCGTTGTTTAGAGGTCAATGCCACTATTGGCAACATGGGAAATTGACCCTTATTGTTTGTGTTTCGAGTATTTGTCACTATGGCATTGTCCTAAGCTCCGGCCGTCCGCCGACGTCACACGGCATTGGTTCTTCCTTCTATCGCTCCTGCCCCGCCGCAAGTGCCCACTGCCAGATCGCCGGGGCCTCTAGTGCCGGCCTGTCAAAGTATCAGCCAGTCAAAGCCCGATGATCCCTGCGTCCTTGCTAGGCTTCAGATTCAGATCTGAGATGAAATATCTCCGTCTGCCGTGCATCCACACGGCTTTCCGTGCAACAAGGGAGCCAACAGGCAGCCCGAAAAGCGTACAGCGGCCACATTCAGGTGCATGAGGTCTGCATCCCTTCCAGCTGAGCTCCGCGCGCTCTGAGCCGAATGGTGTTTGACATCATTGGAATTCACGTCGTGTACTGCAGGGCTGTGGGTTGACCATGGTAATGGTACCCCGCTACGTGCTCACATCACACGGTTGACCAACTCCTTTTCTGACCAGTCCAGGTGAACGTTATCCTTTGAGGAACAACCCAATACTTTGAGATCGCTGTGAAGTGTGTCGGGCTCCACATTGCTACACCTACTAGTACAACGCTGCGCGTCAAACGCAGGTCACAGTGACGTTGCGTACATTCCGCTCTATGCCTACCCATAACTACATGGATAGGAATCCTGAGTGGGTGCACACGGCTTGAGATCAGCGCGTACCTAGCTGCATGATCTTGCATCCGAGCCGGCTACGGTATCCTTCGCGGTATCCTGAACACGCTTCGTCCCACAGCAGCGCTGTGTTCCCGCAAGTCAGTAGCTGACTGACTACTCAAACTTCCGCAGCCTCTTCAACTTTCCTGCATGCCTTCCATTGACATCATTGGGCAAGGCGAGTTGAACCGAACATGGTGTTCGATGTCCCACCCCACTCCAATGCGGCAAGTGGAGCGTATACGTCGTCCGACAGCCCCATGTCAGATTGCCCTTCAATCTCCTTGCCTGTTTGCCGTTTGGCAGCTCTATCGTCATTCACCAAGTCTACATGAAACGCAGACGCCACCGCATGTACCAAGTTGGCCTCAAGACTGAGTATTTCTAGTTCCAGAACGTTCAACTTCATTCCACAGAGAAGCAATACGGGTGTTTCGCATGCGCGCGGTAGCCGTGGCGCGCACGCCAATCTGCTACGGCTCACAATGCTGCCTGGTGTCATGAACCAGGCAATCTTTCCATCCTCAATTTGGAAGGTCTGAGCGATTCAACCCCAGGAGTACAAATATGACTATCAAATTACACAACACCTGGGTATGGAGCTTCTGTATGACGCCCCGCGGGCCCTAATGCACGGTCGCCGGTTGAACTCGCTTGCATGCATGTCTCGGCGATACTCCGCCAGACCAATCAGATGTCATCAATCCCAAACCCCTCCTCAAAGCGCTCGTTCCTTCTTGTCCGTATCCTACACGGTGCTGGGATTCTACTTGAGGTCAAGTTGACGCGGGTGCGCTCGATCTGCTGCATTAGCTTGCCATGTATACGGTGGGCTGGCGTGTAGCAAGCCTCTTCGAAACAACTGGCTGATAGCACATCGGAGAGAACCCTCTCGAGATCTTCGGTTCAAAATCAGAAAATGCGCAATAGATCCATCCAGGCCCATCACACCCGCATTTCATATCGATACCAACGACCGTTCTCATGCGAGCGCCTGAACCGTCGTTCAAGCGCGGGTTTGCAACGTCGCGAGATATTCTCTGGCGTGGAGCTCGCGATCAATTTCATGTTAAGATCGGCAGCACAGCCCCAATTTCGGGGTTAAGCATGCTGCATCTCCATTTCATCAGCAGCTGCCTCTGGGCCTTCTAGGAATGCGTTCGCTTGCACGAGCGGTCTGCACTGCGCTGTGCGTTATGTGAGCAGTGGCTAGCTAAAGGCAGATGCGGTGAGGAGTGTTCAACGTCGCACACCCACTTTATCTCGATCCATGTTTTGTGTGGCTCGGATTGCGGTATTCTTTAATAGACCATTTCAAACCGCTCCAAGGTTGTTTTCTGTCGCAATACTCTCGTCCCGCACATTGCCGCTGTCTGCAGTGCCATCCCTTCTGGCAGCAATGCAAGGGCACCATATGCAGGTGAGCAGACTGCTCCAGGCGTGCGGATAATTTGGGTAAATAGCGTCAGGCCAAAAAGGGTCCAGCGGAACGTTGCTTCTTACCTCCTCTGAGCAGCACCGCATACATGGGCGCGTGTAAACATCTGGGCCTTACAGCTCACTACACGCTACGACACCGCCCGTCCAAGCTACTAACCTCGCTTCCTACGAAGCCAATGACCATTGCGAATATTCTCAAAGCACAGCATAAGCAAGTAAGCAGCATCGTATGCACCTCGTATTGGGCCGCGCAATAAGCTCGGATTCCGACGTCCGACGTAACAGCAACAACGTGGCGACAGTTTGCTCTCTGGAGTTCTACTCCTACGCCCGCAGGATAGGATGCAGGATGGAAAAGACGGCACGCATCTGGACTTCACAAGAAGCTGGGTAATGCCCGAACAGGGCTACACGAGGTGCAGCCACGTTTAGCGTTGGCCCATCATATCGAAGCGGAGGAAACTTACTGTGTAGGCACTGCTAGCATCGGCCGTCTTCCGTAGAGATCCAGTCGAACCACGGCTCTGTACGTTTGCGACTGCATTGAGTTTCCAGGAACATCCAATAGGCAGAAAACATCGGCCATTTCTCCGCTCATGGGAATGTAATCCAGCATGCGGCACAGCGATAAAGTTGCAGCAGCCTCGCGACAATAACTGCCACTCGGAGGTTACTCTTGCGCGACGAGTCGGAGTACGGATCCCCACGCGTCTTTGTCCAACGTAGCCAGCTAGCTGGATTATTCTCCCGTTTACAGCAAAATCATCTTCCAAAGAGCACTCGACCAAATGTCTTGATGCCCGGATGTGGATGGAAGGATGAAAACTAGGTTGATCGTAATGAAGCTTAGTCCATTTCGTTCCGCAACAATCGTGTCCCAGACGTTACAAGACAGTCAAGTTCGAGCGAACCTTGACTTCGCTACCACAGTTACAAACTCTCGCGCGCAAGGTAAGATCGGAAGAGTAGGAACTCGCGTTGGGCCTGTCATCTTTTTTATTCTTGATGCTTGCATCGCTTTCCAAAGTCGCAGCTTGTTCCCATTGTCGCCCATTTGTCTTCCGAATCGTAATTTCTCTCCTCTTTGCAATGGCGTTGTGCTCAGAAAGTCACGTGCGTTACCTGTGGCATCAGACAACATCGTAGGTGAAGGCATTCGATCATTGATCGAGTACCATACCCAAGCGCAGCACACACCATCAGCAGCGTTCATGTCGCGTCGGAAGTCAGCTTTCAATGTGATATTCGGGGTCGCTGCCAATCCGCATCCAGACTGAAGTTGGGAAGTTGACGGGAAGGTACCTTCCAGATTCTCGAGTTCACATCCTCCAGCATGCAGATGATACATTAACTGATTGGATCGAAGTTTACGTCTGCAAACCTCTGCTCGTTCTCTGTTTCCTGTATGTCTCCCTTTAATATACCCTTTGAAGAGACATCGTTAGTACGTTACACCTAAGTATCGTTCTTGACCTCGCGCATACTTTCAATTCCCAATGTGCGCGAATTGTTCCTCCCTTTGCGATGCGAGCCACAACAAACGTCGTCCGGGTTGCCAATCGCAACCTCTGCTGGGTCGTCGATGCCGTCCCAAAGGAGAAAGAGCAAACACACCCCATCCTGCAACCTCATTGTCGGCCACCTGCCTACGTCACCATCCTGTGCTTGTCTATAGTCACATTTCTAGCATCTTTCCGTCGTACATGATCAAAATCGCTGAGAAGGCTAGTCGCATCTGCGCCACGGCGCCCATGGTCTGTATGGGCGAGGTGGTGCCACGAAGGTGCCTTCCTGGGCACGCGCAGAGCACAACAACGACGCACGCTCTCGCCCCACAATCGCGCCTTCACCTTCACTTTCGCTCCTGCCAATCCGTCCTCTGCTTGTCGCCTGCCGCCGGAGCTAATTTCCGCCGTGACTGCAAACGCTGCTCGCACGTCATATAAACAACTTTTCTGTGTCCACCTCCGTGTCTTCTGCTTCTCTCACGACACTCACCCCAAAGCTCCATCATCTCTGCAGCTGCATCAATCCAACACGAACATACTTCAATTCATCCCCACCACCAATCAGATTACCGCTATCAACATGTTCGGCTACAAGATCTTCGCTGTCGCTGCGCTTGCGCTGGCTGTCGTCGCCACTGACCGTGAGTACATGCTTCAGGCTTAGCTGCAAAGCTGCTTGAATACCTCTACATGGCATTAGTCACACGATCTAACATCTCTTGCAGCTGTCTGCGCTCCCGCTGCCACCGTGACTGTTACTGTCACCCAGTGCGTCCCCGAGCCCGGCAAGCCGTCGTCTGAGCCAGTCCCCGCTCTGTCAGATGTCTCCTCTACCCCCGCTATGTCGGCTGTCTCCTCGACTCCCGCTTTGTCGGCTGTATCCTCTACTCAGGACGGCGGAGCGCCTGTACCTACCACTACTAGCGTTATCCTGCCTCCCCCAGGACGACCAGTTCCCACCACCAATGTCCCCGATGACGAGCCTTCCAGTGCTACTACTACGACTGTGCCTCCCTCGTCCTCAGGTCGCCCTGGTGAGCCCACAACCACTGCCGTCGAAACCGCTGGCGCTGCTCTCGCAACGCCTGTCGTTGGTATGGGCTCGCTCGTCGCCATGGGTGCTGCAGCCCTGGCTATCATGGCCTAGGCCCGTTCACACAAGGTCCACGTGCTATATTGAGCAGGGGTGTCGCGCTACACGTCGCGTTCTCAGTCGAAGCCGATAGTGCAAGGCCTGGTATCCATGGGGCTCTCTCTTATTGTCTTGATCATTCTCTCAAGACCCAGATACCCCCATTCATGATTTGGTATTAATGTATTGGCGGCTTATCATCGGCACGGGGTGTCATCCTTCGTCGAAAAGCTGCCCCATGGTATTGCATGTTCATAGCCTTCCACGAGTCTAATAAAAATACTGACATCGTCATTACTCTTGCTTCCGTACCCTGCTTGCTTTGATGACTATGCCTTGTGAAGTAGCTCTCGCACTGCGCTTGGCTTCCACTCCTCGAGCTACCACGGATGACTGAGTTGGTACCTTGTTGCTCGAGAGTCAATGACGCCCTGTTTGCCTATCAGAGTGCTCCTTGTGGTTGATTTCGGGCACAGGGAAGGGCAGTGTTGAATATCCTATCGGAGACGAATAGTACGTTCATGTGGATCGTTAATACTGGCTAGAATGAAGGCATGATGAGACTGAGTACGGTTCTGATGGAGTGCACATGAATATCAACAGAAAGACGTATCAAGGGCGGGGAGAGCGAAAACAGTGAACAAGCATAAATATGGGCTGCGATATCTTCTAATGATAGTAAGAATCCCCCAATTAGAGAGTGCATCATGCTAATATATATCGCTCGTTCCTCCCACTGGATGACCACTCAAACGAAGTACTATCCCGTTTGTTTATACTTCGTCCTCAACTCGTCGATCTCGCGTTGGAACTTTTCCATATCGTCGAGGATGTTACTCGAATCGCTCCTTCCCTCGCCCTCCTTCCCACCAGCCATGTTTTCATCGAGACCTAGCTTCTTCTCGCTCTCTTCCATTGGCGAGTATAAAGCATATTCGTTCCCACCTTTCTCGTCTGCAGGCGCGTATTCCCTTCTCAATGAGCTTTCGCTGGCTACGCTCGTCCGTCTGTGCTCTGTGCTTGTACGGCGGTACTCCGTGCTCGTCCGTCGGCTTTCTGTGGGGGACGAAGAGGGTATCTGAGGTCTTTGCTGATCAAGGCTTGAGCGATTTGATCGGCGTCTTGGTGGAGGCGGAGGTGGCGGCATGTTGCTTCCAGTGCTTTCTCCAGATACATTTCGCTGGGTATTGCGATTGGACGATATGGATGAGGCGCGGTGCACACTCGGCGCGGGTGACGAAGGTTGGGATTCTAGAGTGCTCCGGCGGGATGAAGGGGGTTCTGGAACGGATCTCGGCGTTCGACCCGAACTTGAACGCTGTGGCAGTTCGGTGCTGGAAGAGTTCGCGCTTGAGTTGCCTAGGGTCGCGAGTCGTGCGCCGTGTCGTGAAGGTGGAGGACGTGGTGGTGACTTTGCTCCAAACGGGTCGACGTTAGTTGGAACTGGGCTTTGTATGGGGTCAACCGAGTGCTGAGATGATATCGTAAGGTTTGAACTGCTCCGCGATCTATTGCCTGTTGTCGTCGTCGTCTTGAGCTGACTCTGCCTACGGGCCAATGGCACGGGCGGAGGTGCCTTCTTTTGTCTATTTGTGCCTTCCGAAGGCGGTGAAGGCAGGTCTTGTGCTGGTGGGGTTGGTTGGGATTGTAGCGGGGTGGTATCTTGCGTGCTGATATGGGATGACTGCGGCGCAGCAACGGGAGTTGGAGGGAGCGGCTTGTTTGTATCCGAACTGTCTGTTCGTCTAATAGCCGGCGGTGGTGCTGGCTCTGTCGCTGCAAAGCTCTCAAAAGACACTGTCTGTGGCTGTCTCTGCGTAACGAGCTTTCCGTGTCGATGCTTGGGAGCAGGTGGGGGCTTCTTCTTGCCCTTCTTCACCTCGGAGACTAGCCCCATGCTCTCGTCCTCTTCCGAGTCGGCCATATCGACCGATGTACGTGGTGAATCAGCGTGGGATTCTTGTATGGGCTCGAATAGCGATTGCCGTGAGACTGAGGAGGTATCCGTGCTACTACTGGTCTCAAATTGCGCGCCTGCGACGGGTTGTGATGCGCTCGTAGACTGCTGAGGCGGGCCGGATGGTCGCGGAGTAGCCTTTCCGGTCAGGAGCAGATTCTTGAAGCTCTCTACGTCCAAGGAAGCTCTGCTGTTGCCTAGCATCGGTCTTCCCGTGTTCGTCCGCTCCTCCTCGCTCTCCTTATCTTGGGGTTCTAACGAAGCCAGTGTTCTCGAGAATGGATTCGCTGGTACGTTACCCGGCGATTGCATCGCCAGAGGCTCGCCGAAGGTTGGTCTCGGGTTTGGGGACGCGTCCGCTATTGCCATGGCGTCTTTCCCGACAACTTGGGCATTGGCTTCACCCGCTGTGACAGAGTTGTTGACAAAGCCGGCGGGTGTTACGGGTGGCGGTGGGCTTGCAGGCCGACCTTGGCTCGATCGCCGGGCCATGAGCTCGTTCAAGGTCGCATCTGAGTCGTCAAAGATGGGCGGTGGAATCGTGGTAGTGGGCGAGAGTATGCGGACAGACTTCTTGGTCTTGCCAGTCGAGGGCGGGGCGGCATCTTCGAGCACTGTAAGACAATTACTCCTTGAATGCCAGCAGACGCAGAAAGGCAAGGCGAGGGAATACCATGGTCGCTGTCCTCCCTGCGCGATCCAAGCACACTGCTATCCGTGTTGATGAAGGATGTCTGCGGGACGGGCGCGGGCTGACGGGGAGCTTGAGAAAGGCGGAAGGGGTTTCCGGACGACATGGTGGGTGCTAAAAACAATGCATTATTCTATGTACATGGAAGGGGCGCGAGAGAAGCGGTGAGATGGTGCCGCGCAAGAAATGCTGTTGCTGATAGTCGGCTCTGCGACGTGATCATCGCCGATATGCAGGTGCTGGCGATCCGGCGCGGGACAGCGAACAGCCCCCACCATCGTACCTCGTACACCATGACGGCCCAATGAACCTTTGCTATCCATCTGGCACAATTTCGCCAACAAATTCTGTGGCCCTGTGTGTTCTAGAGCTCACGCTTCAATATTCGCTTTCTGCTACAGGATTTGGACACTTCTTTACATTGTTTAGTAAACGCGTGGGCATCTTGCAGCGGCCTACCGCGGCTATCTATGTAAGGGTCTATCTCCACGGTACGCTAATCGACATACACATGCCACCCTGCCTGGCAGTCAAACCATTTGCGCGCCAAGTTTCCTCCACTCTCTGTCGGTTGGCTGAAAGCAACTCGAGCTTTCTCAATGTGCAGCCCATAGATGAAGTCGGATCGTGCGATATCCAGCAGCCTAGTCGCGATGCCTTTCTTTCTATGTTGATTCGATGTCCATATACGCGATATGCCCAAGGCCACCGGATCTGAATCGGTGCTGATAGAAATAGAAGAGCTATGGGGCGCGACAGCATCTCCGTGCTCCTGGTCGGGCGAACCGGTGGGGTCCAACACCTTATAGGCTTCCCAGATTCGCTCTGCCAAACATGCTCCTACACACTTATTCCCTCGAATGTATAAATATATCTTGAATCGATCGACGAGTGCCACGTTGGCTGGGTTCTTCGCCGAGGGCCGTGGTTTCGGTACAAGCGTGGTTCGTTCTGTTTCGTCTGCCTGGGCTGTCCGACTCGTCTGTCCCCAAAGCTCGTCGTCTGATATGGGAACAGCAGCAAGCTCTGTGTTCACAACCTTCAAAACATCACTCGCCCGGTTGCGCATCGCCAATGTATCCTTGCGTCCAACTACAGCGATGAAGCTCCCATCACCACTCCATATCTGATTCTTCCTAAAGCGCTCCACGACTGGCTTGGTGAAGTCGACACCCCCAAGGTTCATCGCATGATACTTCTTGTGCAGCGCCGCGTCTTCGGCATTCGACGGTATGTACTGCATTCCACATATCTTGCATGTTTTGCGCGTCTCTGAAGCCAGGTCTAACTGCATCTGTACCATCTGCTTCTTTTTCGGTGCTGGCTTCGGTGGGCTTTGCGCATTGTGACTCCGTTCTGTAAGGGGTTCTTTGGCGGGTGTGCTCGGCTTGAGTTGCTTCTTGAATATCGAGAAGACTGGTCGCCGTTTTTGAACGGGTGGAGGGGAGCTGCGCGGTGCTGGCGACGATGGTGGACTAGACCGAGGCGGTTCGTCTGAGAAGACTGCGGGCGAGTCTTTGGGGCTGGATGGAGGGGCGGTGGAGCTTTCACGCTCGCATTCGAGAGATGAAATGACAATCGTGGGAGGATTATCCAACGGGGTCAAGGTCGTCGTTTCGGTACTTTCGATCGTCGTCTCGACGCGTCTTCGTTTGGTAGGCGGTTCTTCATCGTAGAGTTGGCGCTTCGTGTGTCGCGAATACGTTCTGACAACCTTTCTGGGACGATGTTAGACGTGCGACATATCTTCAATTGGATCAGCTTACTTTGCTCCGAAGGACGACATTACGGCGCTGTTGGCAAGCGTCGTAGGAACTGCGAGTGCTGGACCGCCCACGCGACAGACGCGTTTTAGCGCGCTGCGCTAGTGCCCGCCCACATGCACGACGTCACGCCTCGTCCTCTCACATGTCACCTGGTCAGTCCGAACCATCGTGTTCAAGGATGTACTTCACAGTCAGCAAGTCTCTGCGCGTCCTTTGAATACGGCGATATGCTTGCATCGTTCTTGACTCATCAAAAGGGCGAGTGTCGCTAGTTCAGGCAACCGGTCGATATCCCAGCAGGGAAGGTGCGTTTGCTTCATGCTGACTGGCCTTATCATGGTCACTCCACTCAAAGGGTATCTATGAGTCAACGGCCGTGAAGCAACCAAGCACTAAAAGTACACAAATATCGGACTCTCTCGACTGGCCCATCTGAATTCTTTTCTCTTGTATTTGCACATCTCGTCGGTGTATCCATCTCCAAAATGGCGGAACAAACAACACCAGCACAAACGGGCACATCAGTTCCATCATTCATAGTGACTACCAAGCGTCTAATAATCCGTCCAATGTGTCTCGAAGATGCCCCGTCGACTTCTCTGCATGCCAACGACCCCCTCATCGCCAAGTACATGCGAGGAACTTTTCCCAGTCCATATACACAGTCGAGCGCCGAGACATGGATCAACACGAACCTCGCACTCCCATATCAACACCACTTCGTCATTTGTGAGAGATCAGCGCCAGAACTCGCAATAGGAGGCATCGGTTTGAAACTAGGCTCGGATGTGTACGCACATGCAGCAGAAGTTGGTTTCTGGGTTGGAAAGACGTATTGGGGAAAAGGTTATATCACGGAGGCACTGGAAGCCTTCACAACATGGAGTTTTGAGAGTTACGAGAACAACGGCCAACGATTGACCAAACTCTACGCTGGGGTGTTCTCTGGCAACGGGGCGAGCATGCGGTGCTTTGAAAAGAATGGGTACGTACTCGAAGGTGTACTGAGGGACAATGTTTACAAGAATGGTGAGATGAAGGATGAGCACATGTTCGGTATGAGAAAGGCAGACTGGGAGAGAAGATTGCGTGAGGGTGTCAACAAGTAGTGGAGTGAGGGGTAGCACCTGAAGTGGATCAGAGGTCTCTCAGATTTGGTAGTCTTTGGAAAGGTGATCACAGTAGTGGCCAAGACAGGTTGAGAAGTTTTTGATTCAAAAGCCAAAGTGCGCTTGAGGTAACTCAAGGACCTGGTTGGGCTATGTATGCTTGGAGTTGCATGAGCAGTATCTCAACCGGCACATTGTGTCTTGCTCTCTTCATCACGACACATTTCTCACCAGCGTACTTGCTGCCTTTTATCAGTTCTTGCGCCTTGTCCTCTCCAAGTAGATCCACCAAACTGTAGACCGCAACCTTTCTGCCTCGCCAAGTGGTGGTATGAAACTCGAGCTCCGGAAACATCAGGCGAGGTTGCAGACATGCGATGACAGGACCAGTATACCAGTGTGGTGAAGAGTGAGTGACTTCTGGGGTAGCATGTGGATCCAGCTTCGCCTCAAAGCTCTTGGTAAAGTAGGCTGACCACTTTTCCAGCTCAGCCATGTTCAAATCTGCCAGCTTTTGCATGTCATCCCCACGGTTATGAAGCGATCGGAATATGAGGACAGAAGACACGTCTTCGACGCACTCAATGTCTTCAGTCCGGGGACTCGCGACTGGAATCAATCGACCTCTGAATCCAAAGTTCCAGCTGAGCTTACTCTCTACTGTCTTGCGCATCACGTCCAGTATGAAGTCTGGCATGTCCTCCCTCCAGACCATCTTCTTCAAGCCTAGCCCGCCAAACTTTTCGGCCATGCGCGAGTTCAGAGCCTTTTCCCAGGCTTTCTTCTTGCCCAGTTGTACAGTAACCCGACGAGTCCCAAGGAAACGGTGTGGGGGTCCGAGGTGCTTCTTGTCCGTCGTGAGAGAGACAGGCAGGAGCCACGGGTCGTTAGTCGTTGGATGCGGGCGTGCGTGGAGAGAGGTCAGGAAAGCGCTGGGAAGGGAGATCATTGTTGCGCGACATTGACGGACTGGCGATGCCAACGCATGGGCTGAGAAATTAGTCTTGCATTGCCATCAAGGGACAGCATTATGCATACCGAAAGGATTCTCCCATAGTTTCTTCTGGAAAGGCGTGAATTCAGCAAAATTCCGTCGCTCTTTCGTCTGTTCATAGCGAGACCTTTCTTCTAAGGCTACCGGATCGAGTAATGGCGAAAGTGGAAGTTCTTTGGCTGTCTCGTCTTTGCGGAGGCGGAACGTTTGGTGGGCATCTTCGCGCGTAGGACCAAGGTCACTGCCTTTCAAGAGACGACCGGGAATATGGGCGGAGGATTGGCGGCATTGAGCCCGCGCCGGGAGTCTAGTGGGGCTCAAGCATGACGTCGGGCGACAGATCCATCTGCCTGGCATCAGGCGGGACAGGGAGCGACTGCGTGGTTCGTGCGGGTTGAGGGTGTTGCGCAGGAAGAGCCAAACGATCGCATCGGACCCCCGGCTTGGCGCGCCGGAGCTGCGTTCACGCGGGGAGGCAGGAGCTACCCCGACATCACCATCATGGCTTCTCTATTACGGCGGGCTACAAGGCCATCAACACTACAAAGCTTCGCCAGATATGGCACGCGCTCAATATCAAGCCAATTCGGCTTCCAGCCGCAATGGAGTCCTCAGCAGCAGGACCAACAAACACCGCGCGCCATCTCACTGCCGATACCCTACGTGACGGAGACTACTGTGAGCTCAGCAGCGTTACTATTCAAGAGCTAGCTGACTTTATAGGGTGGAGGCTGGAAAACTTCCGACATCTTCTCGCGTCTCCTGCAAGAGCGCATCATCTGCCTGAACGGCGAGGTTGACGACTACATGTCCGCCAACGCTGTCGCCCAGCTCCTCTTCCTCGAAGCCGACAACCCCGAGAAACCCATATCCATGTACATCAACTCGCCCGGCGGCAGCGTGAGCGCCGGTCTTGCGATTTACGATACCATGAACTACATCCGCTGCCCGGTCAGCACAATATGCATGGGCATCGCAGCCTCCATGGGATCGTTGCTGCTTGCAGGTGGCGCCGAAGGGCAGCGATACATATTACCACATGCACGAGTCATGATACACCAGCCGAGTGGCGGATACCGTGGCAAGGCAAGCGATATCGCGGACCACGCCAAAGAGATCCTCAGGATACGGGACAAGCTGAACAAGATATACCAGTCGCACGTTACGAAGAAGAGGACGCTGGAGGAGATTGAGAAGTACATGGAGCGCGACTACTTTATGGATGCGCAAGAGGCAGTGGACTTTGGTATCGTCGACAAGATACTGGAGAAGAGAGAGGCGCCGGCCAAGGAAGAGGAGAAGAAATAGGAGCACCAAGTACCGAATAGCACAAGTAAGCTCATGACCAATTGTCATCCAAGTGTGTCTGTTATCGATACTGCGCCTGTATAGTAGCTTCATGCCATCTTGGGGGCCAAGGTTTGTCTGTCTTCTACAGACCACTTTTGCTTATTATAGATCATCAGAACCGGAACAGCTCTATCACACATTCCTCAAATACGTTTGCAGATGCTGCACTCGAAGTCTCGTTACAATGGCATGTACATGTGCTGCAGTGGCTTCAAGTGGTTCAGATTGCTACGCCTCACCCCTGCCTAACCGCTACCAGGCACATTTCGGTCACGTTTCCAGGCTTTCCACACAACTCTGTTTTGTTTCTGCAACGAAGTCTTGTTTTCCAAATAAGCGTCGTGGTGTTGTTACGCGCGCGCATTGTCGATACGTAACTGAGACAATCCTGATCCTGGCGAAGCGCTGTTCGTTTCCTATGATCCTTCAACAACAGCTTTTATAATGCTCGAGAAGATGCGATTCCAAAGTAAAGTAGGCAGAAGCACACAGCAGCTTTTGTTAGGTCATCATGTCAGAATTCAGGTTTGAATTTAGTGAACCACCAACCCGATCCTCGTCACCGGCATCATCAGTGAGCACGCAGCTTGGTGACGCAGATGCCAACCCGATGGATACACGCGCTTGCGATAGCCAAGTTCTAGCGTGAGTATGCAAGTACTGAGATGACTCGCGTTGCTGACATACCACAGCTTTGACAGTCCGATACTGAAAGTTTGTGTGGGGACGGGCCAGGACGCAGCAACCTCTTTCGTCCATGAAACGCTATTCACCTCCAGATCCGAACTCTTCAAGTGCGCCACTACTCAGGAGTTTCGAGGGACTGAAGCGCATGTGCTAGCACTACCAGACGATGACCCGGATACCTTCCGCCTATACCTCAACCTGGTTTACACACATCAGCTAGTCACAAGAGGTACTGGCCAGTGGCTGAAGCTATGTCGACTATACGTCCTAGCGGAGAAACTACAAGACATTACATCCAAGAACCAAATCATCGACGGAATGTACGCATTCTTCAGTGAGATCGCCTGCCAACCTACCCTGAGCGTCAACATCTCGCGTATGCTTCCGGCTGCAGCAACGACAGAACTATATGAAGGCACATCCAAACAAAGCCAGGCCCGGGAGCTTGTTCTCGACTTTTACGCGGACTCTGGTAACGTATCCTGGCTTCTCAGCGAGCAGGCGAGGTTACCGACCGAGTTCATTTGCGATGTTGCTGTCCGCTTGTTGCAAAGGCGTGGCTATGTCTTTTCTGGCTTCCGGATTCGTCGTCCATCTGACGGCTATCATGAAGCCAACACATCCTCCCCAGGGATGGCCTGTGCTGTAGCCAGGCAAGCGAAGGAAGTCTCGGCAGATGAGCAGAATGTTATGGTCAGAGCTGTCACAGGAGCCAAGAAGAAATCTTGTGAGAACCTCCCAGAGCTCAATGGCGATGCGAAGGAACTGGAACTCGAGCTCTCTGACGTTGTAGTTGCGGATGTGGCTGAATCAGCAACCGGCCATACACTCCCGCCACTCAAAGGAATTGTGACAGAAGTGAGATGGGAGCTTGACAGAT